AAATAGATATATATAATCTATTATGTATACTGTATAAAGAAGTGTAATTCTAAATTAAAAAAAAAAAAAAAAATTGTGATTGTGAGGGTATTTAAGTAATTATGAATTCAAAAGTAAGAATTGAAATATATTTGTAATTCTAGTAAGAGCAAAATTGGTATTTCATGTTCAAAAGTGGATGATGTCATAAAAAAGGGCATTGACCGGCATTGGCTTTTATCGAAAGGGGGAAAGTGTTATGCCGAACCTAACCTTGAGGGAGTTCAATGTAATTTTTGAAACGTTAAGGGTACTTTCTATAATTAGCCCTAATCTCGAGGGAGGTAAGTGATATTATCTCCTTTTTTTTTAAGGACAAGAACCCACTACTCGGCAGGATAACATTGGCAATCCAATCATTTTAAACTAATACTTCAAATTTGTCTGTGGGTTCATTCCTCCCTAAACTAATCGTTACCAATCAAGTGCCTATTTGGGGGAGCTTTCTAGGGACTTGAAACGGGCTTCCAAGCCCAATAAGGCCTTCCTAAAAACATGGTAGTGTTTGGTGAAATAAAAGAAAATGAATTCTAACCAACGTCAAAGTAATAGGCTATGTTTGGTACGGTGTGAATGAAAATAAAGGATAACATTAGTTATGAGGGAAATGAAATGGAAGGATAATTTTAACCTCGTATCGTGTTTGGTTGATTAATAAAGGAAAAGAAAGGAAATGATAATAATCATGTTTGGGAAAAGAATGGAAATGAAAGTATTACTAAAAGGCCTGTGGCCTAACGGTACAATGCTCCTACTCCCCAAAGGGAGGTCAGGGGTTCGAACCTCAGTGGAGGCAGTATGTGTGAGTCCCAACTAGGGGAAACAAAAAATGGAAAGGAAAGTATTTTAATAAATTTACTATTATGCCCTTCTATATTTTTAAAGAAAAATTTATGGCACCTCAAAATTTATTGGCCATGGATGATGGGCCACCAAAAAAACAAAATACGGAGTATAATTTTAAGGCAAACCATTTCAGCCTCCCCAATCGCCTCCATCTCTATTATCGTTCTCAACTCTGAACTTGCCCTCTTTCTCTCTCTCTCTGCAACTGCAAACTACAAATCTACAAGAATCAGAAGTTCAAAACCCATATATTTCAATTTATCTATCTGTCTATAAGAATCAAAAGTTCAAAACCTATTACCTATATCAAAACCAATATCAGCATATCATTTCAGATTAATCCAAAAATCAAAACTCATATCTTTTAGTTTCCATCGCCTGCTGCTCCAGTTGGGGTTCGCCGTTCGCAAGCTTCAACCGCTGTCTCTCAACTCTCTTGCCCCCCTCTCTCTCTGCAATTGCTAACTTGTATGTATGGGTTTTGTTTTAAATTTTTTTCTAAATCAACTAATCAAGGTCTATAATTCTTGTTTTGCAAACTAAATCCTAAAATCAAGTGTAATCTTGATTTTGTGTAAGGGTAAATTTGGCATCAGAAAGAATACAACCACTATAACTTTCCCTTTCCTTCCATTTCCTCCCATTTTTGGGAGGATAACAAAGACTGATGTTGCTACATTGTTGAATCCCTCCGTTTCCCTCTGTTTCCTTTCATTTCTTTCTCAGATTTTACACCAAACACAAAATCCCATCTCCCTCCATTACCTTTCTTTTCTTTTCCTTCTATTTCTTTCCAACCAACTGGCCCATAGGAAGTCTGTTCAGCCGAAGCGTCAAAAACTAGCTTTTGGAACAAATTTTATGGAAAAATTTGCCCCTTTTATCTCGTAAAACTTGTTGATCTAGTGCTTTGTAAACTATGAACAAGAATGAGAAAGTTGTTATGAGTCTTTTATTCCGATTCAAATTTCAATACTAAAATACTTTTCCTATTTAAATTAGTTCTTTAAGAATTTTCGATAGGTCACAATTCTTCAAATATTCTACTTTTATAATTTTTAAGTTAACTTTAAACTTTTAATTTTCAATTTCTACATTTTGAAACCCTAGCCTCTCTCTTCTAGTATTTTTCTCTCTGAATTGGTGCACACTTGAGTGCATTCTCATCGTTTTTCTTGTCACATTATCGACGACCTCCAGAGAAGTTTGAGAGTAAAAATTGATTCCACAGTAAAGAGATATTCGGTTTCTCAAGTATGCAATTAACATTCTATCTTCAATAATTGATCACCACGACAACAATGGAAGCATAAATATAAGCTCCATCATCTACTATATTCTTCTTCTTCTTCTTCTTCTTCTTTTTTTTTTTTTTGTCAGCTATCTTCACTTTTATCACTTTTATTATCTCTATTTCTATTTTTATAATTTTCTTTAGGGTTAAGTGCAAAAAAACCCTCTTACTATATACAGTTTGTGCAAATAACCCCCTATTGTTCAAAAAACTCCCCTATATTTTTCAAATTGTGCAAATAAGGACAATTACTCAAATTGAAGATTGAAATACCTCAATTACCTTTAAATCAAAATAAAAATAAAAAATAAATATTTCGGTTTTTTTTTTTTTTTTTTTTCCGGCTCTCTTTTGTCTATTTCTCTCTCTACCCCTCGTTTCTCTCTCACAATCTCTCTTCCATCTCTTTCTCTCATCAGTGGTCCACCTTAAAAATAAAAAAATAAAAAAAATAACTTTAGCCATATATATTTACTAAAATCTAACTGCTGCAAAACCATCAATGATTTTCCTTTACATTATACCTATGAAGCACAGACACGTGTTATAGGGCTGACGTACCGGTGTCGGACACGTGTCCGACACGGACACGCGTGTCACAGCCTTGGACACGTGTCCGACACGGATCTACCGGTGTCCTATTTTTTTATTCATTTTTTCAAGTCGGATAAGCCGGAGGACAAGGCCGAGACATGTCGGAGGACACGGTTGGTACACCGGAGGACACCGGTGTAGGACACAGCCGTTCAGATTAATAAAAAAAAATGGAAAGGATGAGAGAGAAACTGGAAGGGAGAAGGGAAATCAACAAAGAGATGATGAAGAATCATGCTCTGGTTGGTTATTGATGGAGGAGAAGGAAGATAGAAAGTTAAGAGAAGGAGGAGATGGCGTCCGGCAAGAATTCCGATTCTACTAAAGTCTCTCTCGTCTAGTTGCGAACAGATCTCAACCAAAGGCTTGATCGCCTTTTTATTCCTTTGAGTGGTTATTGGTTAATAAAAGAGGAATTCAATTTTGAAGAGAGAGAGAGAGACAGTCAAACTTGGAAAGACCAAACTTGGGAAGAGCGAGGAAGAAGATAGAAAGATAAGATTGTAATCTTATCTTCTGTGTTTGGTTACAAAGTTAATCTTATCTTCTGTTGTGTTTGGTTATAAAGTTAAAACTATTCTAATATTGATACAAATTCTAGTATTGGATATAAAGATATACTACGTATTTATTGTTTGAATTTTAATAAAATTTGGATTGGGTTTAATTTAAATAGATCATGTCTATTATTGTAAATTAAAAATTAAGAGAAATTAATATTTTATATATAATAAAAATATATATTATTATTTTATTGCCGTATCCTTGCCGTGTCCGTGTCCTATTTTTTTGAAATTTACTGTATCGCTGTGTCCGTGTCGTATCGTACCCGTGTCTCGTGTCGGTGTCCGTGTTTCATAGCATTATACACAAATCTCTTGCCAGATGTATCACATCATAGCCTTTTGGGACGGGGAATCAATTGTTGAGTTGATCGCGATCCACACAAAATTTCTTCAAATAAGTGAAAACACCAAAAATTCATTAATGCTGCATCTTACCTCCTAATTTTAATTGTAATATAGAATTGATAGGTTCTCAAATGTATGTATTTTTTTCTTTAAAAACAAAAAAAATGTATTTTGTTGGGTGGTTATTGGTGGCTGGATTTAATGGTTGAAAATCGGTGGGGACAAGCAGTAATGAATCGGTGGTGTTTGGTGGCCGGATTTTTAAGGCCTCGTTTGGAGAGATTTGGAGAGAAAAGAAAGGGAATGATAGAGTTTAGTGCGTTTGGGTGGAGGGAATTGAGAAGAAAAGAAATGATTGGGAAGGATTTGGAGGGATAGCCTGCGTTTGGGTGGAGGGAATTGAGAAGAAAAGAAATGATTGGGAAGGATTTGGAGGGATAGGCTATCCTTCCAAATCCCTTCAGCATAGTAAAAACAAATCCTCTCAAAGTTGAGAAGATTTGAGGGGAAAGGATGACAAAGACAGAATTAACCCTCCAAATCCCTTCAGCTGCCCTATTTCGTTCACTGCACTTTGCTCAAGTCAAGAAGAAATTCCAATTTTCTCTCTCCTCTTCACGCTCCTATCCACTCTCCAATCTCTGTACTACCTCCCACTCTCTCTCTCCATATATCTATATATATATATATATATATGCTATGCAAACATATCAATGATTTCGATGCTTTCAATTCAGTGTATTTGCTCTGCTTTTTTATTCAACCATGAATTTCATAGAATTGGTGTCTGGTGATTTTTCTTATGCTTCATCTTGTTGCCAGAAAATTATAGAATTGGATAGAAAAATAAAACCCAATCTTTCATATCTATCTATGCATCTAAGATCAAATCCTTTTTTGTTCAGTATCTAAAATCTTGAGTGCTCTAACAAGACTAAGTAATAGTTTTGTTGATGACGTTGCTAGATAAAGATCATGTTATAGCACCAAAAAAATCTGACTATAGCACTTAGGGGATAATAAGGTACATCAATGTATTGCATATCTTACGTGTAGACATTGATTTATTGTAAAATTGCCTATTAATAAAGAATGTAATAACTTTTAGTTGGTATTAATTATTTAGTATTATTTTAATTATTCAAAAAATATAAAAAAAAACCCCTAAAGTTTATGAAGAGATGAGAAAATGTGTATAAAAATCTTACATACATATTTATCTATCTATCTTATCTATCTTCGAAATATGCTATCAAGTTATATGTATATTATCAAGTTACTTTAAAAAAATAAATAAATAAATAAAAAAACCACACACAACAGTATGGTATCAAGTTATCTTGTTTTTTTTAGTTATTATTAATTTTAATTTCCAATAAAATTGAGGAAGAGAAAAAAAAAACCATTATGCTATCAAGTTATGAATGATTATTTATCAAAATATATGAAAAGGTTTTATTCAAACAAGAATGTATCCTTTCCTTTCTTTTCCTTTCTCTTCTAATCTTTTTTTTTCTTCTCTCTCCTCTTTGTCCAAACGGAGCCTAAGAGCTCGTGACAGATCTGAAAAGCATTGTCCGTCCTGGGATCCTTTGCGAGTTTTTGCAGAAGATTAGAGTTATTGGTCGCCTCTTTAACGTTATCTTACTGTGCTGACGAAATCAATTGATGCAAGACGGAATAAATGGATGACGCAGTCTAGCCGGAATGGATTTCGTGTTCGTCATTCAAACGTCCATCTTGTCGCCGAAATCCATGGTGGTCGATTGTGTTGTTTGAACCCATGGATTTACCATTATACATTCCATTATCGTCGGACTCCATGGTCGTCGGGTAATTTTTTTTTTTTTTTCCTTTTTCATTTCTAGTTCATTGTTAATTTTTCCTGCGGATCAATCGGGTTATTGTCTCCGTTTATTCAGTCACTGTCTCTGAGTGCTTTATTTATAGTACCCATATTGTAGAGATGAAAAAGAAAAAAAAAATTAAATATAAAATATAAAATTCTCTTAAGGGTATTTCGGGGGTTTAGAAGAAAAATTGACCAAAATTGGATAATAGGGGGCAATTTGCTCCAAATTATGATAATACAGGAATTTATATGCATATAATATTTAATAGGGGTATTTTTTACACACATTTTATATAAGAGGGGAATTTTCTGCACTTTATTCTTTTCTTTATTCTTGTTGTATGTCAATTTTTTATTTTTTGTATGTCAATTAAACTATATATAGATTTGTAGTCTTCCTGAAAATCATTTAGGGTAATTATTAAGAATAAAATTGTCAAGTTAAAACTATATTAATTGTTGAAAGAAATTTCAAAAAATACATATGTAGTTTGATCTTCTAACTTCATTCCATTGAAATGCATTATTCAAAGGCGTTTAAGTAGAAGGAATTTTGGAATTAAGAAGCCCTCCAAACAAGGCCCAAGTCATTTTAAAGTGTTTTTCTCTTAAACTAGGGTTTATAAGGTTTTGTTTATAATGCTTTTGCTACCGTATATGTGAGCAAGCTCTCTCTTTCTCTGTGCAGCAGAAGGAACTGATAAGTGAATCCATAAAACGGGTAAGATATACCTCTCTCGTTTGAATATAATATGATGTCTCCTTAATTCTGAATCCTTCCTCCATTGTTCTTTCAAGGTACATACATATTTTTTTTATTTTGAAAATGGGTACAATCCATTTCAAGCGATTGGTTTGTTTTGTGGAAAACTATCAATTTCTGAAGAGAACACCGCATTCGGCAGCTGTTTTTCAAAAACGTTTTCTCAAAACAGAAACAGAAACTGTTTCTGCTACTGCTGCTGCTGCTGAATCATCATCCTTCACTCTTCGATACCTTGTGGACTCATGTGGGCTTCCCTATAAAACTGCCCTTTCAACTTCCCAAAAACTCAAATTGGAAGAAAAGAATTCGGAGCAACCTGAATCTGTCATAACCCTTTTGAAATCCCTTGAATTCTCCGATGACCAAATTGCCAAACTGATTGTAAAAAACCCCCCTGTCCTCCAATACAAAATAAACAGCAATCTTAAGCCCAAACTGCAGTACCTTATAGATATTGGCTTTGTCGGTTCATTTCTCCCCGAACTAATTCTCAAAAATCCCTACATTTTAGGTAGAAGCCTGACTGGTCACATAAAACCCTCAATTGATTTTCTCAAGACATACCTTGAGACTGATGACAACGTTGTAGCTGCTCTTAGGCGCTCATCCTGGCTCCTCACCTCCGATTTCAAGGGAACTATGACAAATATTAATTTCTTGTTAAGTGAAGGGGTGCCCCATTGCAGTATATCCAAATTGATCTTGTTGCAGCCGAGAGTTATACAGCAAAAGTTAGATAGGATGGTCTATGCAGTTAACACCGTCAGAAATTTGGGTTATAAACCGAGTGCTCCCATGTTCCTGCCTGCTGTTCGAGTAATGGTCTCAATGAATGATTCGACTTGGAAAAGGAAAGTTGAATTGCTTAAAAGCTTTGGGTGGTCTGATGAAGAAATATTTATAGCGTTTAAGCGTTGCCCACTTTATTTGGAATGTTCGGAGGAGAAAATCAAGAGCATGATGGATTTTTATGTGAATACTGTGAAGTTGGAACCATCAGTCATGGTTGCTTACCCCATTCTTCTTAAGTTCGCAAAGGATACGAGAATTCTCCCAAGGTATAATGTTATAAAGGTTTTAGAGTCGAAGAAACTGCTTAAGGAAAACAAGAAGGTTACTTGGATATTTTGCCAACCTGAGAAGAAGTTCTTGGATATGTATGTGAATAAGCATTTGGACAAAGTCCCAAGGTTGATGGACATCTATCGTGGCATCATTGTGGCTGACAAAATTGATGCTTAGTTTTGAAGAAGTAAGTTTTACTCTATACTGATGAATGTGTGAGGTGCTTATGTATGATAAAGATAATAGTGGATGACTTTCTATTTGTTAATCACTAGAATTATTAATTATTGTGTTTTTGTACTTCTTACACAATATGTATCTTAGTTCAACTGACTGTACAGTAAGACAAATTCAGGTTTTAATGATTATAAATTTTCTTAGTCAAGAATTGAAATACAATGAGACTGTTTTTTATTTTGATAGAGTTTTTTGCATTTTAATGTAATAGGTTTATATTTTGGCTGGTATAAGATCTAGGAAGAAGCCAAGTGTCACAACTCTTTGACTATTCTTGTCAATTTGTTGTCTTCAAATTTTGAATACAAAAATGTAACAAATTAAATGCAAAAATGTCATAATGCAGTATTATTATTATTATTTTTTTTTTTGGGGGGGGGGGGGGGGGGGGGGTTGGGGGTTGTTGTGCTGTGGAATGAATATTTAAAGTATGCTTTTGCTATTTAGGATGATGGAAGATAAAAAGTAGATGTGCACATGACAAATAACTTGATTTTTTTTTCCTTGAATGTGGAAATTTTTATAAATATAAACAATATAGTACAATAGAGAGAGTGATCTGCTTTAGTGATCACTTGAAAACAGTAAATATATCATTTTACCGCAAACCCCAAAACCTCAACATGAAAGAGATAAAACAAAATAACTGATAGTGCCAAAGCATAAATGCTAAGGCAGCTTTACAGAAAGTCAGAAAGCCTAAAAACTCGGAACAAAGCTCCAATATCAGAGATAGTCATACCAACAGCATTCAATCCTTCAAAGCATGCCTCCATTGCCAATTAGTGTGGACTCAATGCACTACCACCAGGACATCTTCTGTTCCTCTCATCCCAAATACACCACAAAATGGCAGTAAACCAGCACCTTACCAACTTACTCTTAAGAACTTGATTGTTGTTTCTAGGCTTATGGTATTTGATGAAGTTCTTCAACTTTGTGCAGTTGGTGATTTCATCCATGCAAGATTTATGGTCAACCTCCCGTAAGGTTATAGCGAATAATGACAGTTTGTGAAAGAACTTCTTAAATGCTGAAATTGTCCTCCTTTTAACCAAAATGACATAACTATCCCTACTCAACGTTTTAGATAGGGCTGCAAATTAACTGAGTTGTTTGTCCTCCTTTTAACCAAAATGACATAACTATCCCTACTCACCCTTTTAGATAGAGCTGCAAATGAACCAAGTTGTTAACGAATAGCTCTGGCTCAGCTTGTGTTTGTTCGTCAAGTAAATGGATCCAGATCAAGTTCGTTTTATAAACCAGCCGAGCTCAAACTATGCAAAGCTCGGCTCGTTAAGCTCGTGAACAATCTTGTTGATGGCATATATAGATTTAGTCCATATTTAAAGCCCATTACGTTGTAGACTTGTATGATCAAATTTAATGTAAGCTCAACCCATGAATTTAGTATAACATATATGTTTGGTTTGAGGGCCCATTAAGTACTCCGTCTTTGTTGACAAGATGACCCATATAGTTGTCAAGAGAAAAATAGTAAAAACGAGGCCCTCAAATCTAGCTAGTTCGTTTCTTAAAAGGAAAGCCATAGATTTACAATCCTAATCTAAGAAGCATAGACACTTCCAGGAAGGTGTCATGACTTATCATGGACACTCCTGGACATATGTCTGCCACTTCTAGGGTGAGTTTTTTAAAAGATTGTTTCAGTTGGTTGAACTTATGAAAAGAGTGAGAGATTGTGTGTTCTAGTCTCTAGAGAGAGGGAGCACCTTTAAATTGTTCTAGACTTTAAAGGGAGCACCTTTAAATTGCCGATGATATTCTGTTTTTTGAAAACCTCTAGGGTCCGTTTGGTTGGATACAAATTTATGATGGAAAGTGAAAGTAAAAGAAAGTGAAGTAAAGGAAAAGAAAATCAAGTTTCCAGTATGCATTTGTTTAGGTGGAATTTTTTTCAAGAAAGTTATGTTAAAATATTATTTTGTTAGTTTGAATAGGATGAAAATGAAAAGAAAATGATTATATTACCAAAACTACCCTTAGGAATTTAAATATTTTAAAATAAAATAAAATTGTGTTTGATGAATCACCCTTATACCTAATATAATTTATATCCATTTTTAACCAAAAAAAAAAAAAAAAAAAACCGGAAAGTAAAATAATAATATAATCATTTCTATTTATATCTAAATTGTATCTTTAAGGACACTCAACAATTGTAAAACCCAAAATACTCACAATCTAAAAATCTCGAGGTCGTAAGTTTCCAATCAAACTAAGAATCCCAATGGCCTGTACACCAACACTAATCCTAATTTTCCAATCAAACTGAAAACCTGTGTGTATATCACTCGATCTCAATCATTATTAATTATGGAACCCAAAATAATTATAATAAAAAATTAATTTTATATGCATATATAGAAATATCAATAATTAAATTCGGATAACACCAATTCACAAAAGGAAATCTACCTCTGCGTGAAGTTTGTGGTGAAACTAAAGAGTGGAGAGAAACAAGGAGAAAGTGAAGAAGAGTGGGGGGAGAAACAACTGATAGGGGTACAAGAGGAAACTAAGATACAAAGTGGCTAATTTTTGCGAGAAAGTAAATTTTCGCATGTTTTGTACGGGAAAATGTTTAGGGAAAATTCACAACATGCGAGAATCGTACTTTCCCAAAAGTTTTCACTTTCCATCTATCCAAACGCATAAATTTTTTTAAAATTTTCCTTTCTAGCTAGTTCTTGCTAACCAAACAGACCCTTAAAGAAAACTTAGCAATAAAACTAGAAATGTGGAGAAATGCTCTAGAATAAAAAGGATTAAAAATTGGTAGATTTAAAACTGAGTATATGGAATGTAAATTAATAATAATAAAAAAAAATAAAAAAAAAATTAGATATTGATAATATAATGATCACACTTCAAAACGAAATGACTAGTCAAAGTAAGTACTTTTGGTATTTAGGATCAATAATACAAAAGGATGGAGAAATGGATAATAATATAACTGGTAGAATCGGATCGAGGTGGACAAAATGGAGGCAAGATATTGGCATTTTATCTGGCAAAGGAATTACAAATAGGTTAAAAAGGAAATTTATAAGACAGTTATTAGATCAACTATTCTATATGGAGCAAAATGTTAGAGCGAACAGTATGGAGGAATGACCTTTTTTTCCCATCTACTTAATAATGAATTCTTGTTGGTAGAACACGATATGTAAAGGGTTTTGTTGAGGCTTTAGTGGTTGATCAGGGAAAACCCATTTAGTGGTTGATTATCGACTTTGGTGATTCAGTGCTAGAGCCCAGGTTTAGACTTGAAACTGACTTGTGCTCACACTAAAATTTGAGCTATCGTTTACAGGGCTAAGAAAGAGAGGTCATTTCTGGTATCTAAGTTTCTTAATTTTTACACTGTAAAATTAGTTTAGAGCATAATGATGAAACATGATTTGCATAATATACCTGAAATAATTCGAAATAAGGCCTTGTCGAATTAAGTTGTCTTTAATAGCATGAGTTCTTTGTCAATCCAGCCTGGTTGATAGCTCTTAACGAATGTCATTATGTGATTCTTACGATATTTTGTGATCTATAGATTGTCCAAGTGTATTTCATCTTTGTTTAGGAGTAATATGTATATTTCTTAATGAAGAAAGGTTACCGAGGAGATTGGATTGGATGGACGTTTGGTATGTAGGTTCTAGGCTTCTAGCTACTCAAGGCATGATAATGATCGACTTAGAACACATGGCAAGTTATAGCACAATTCCGGAGTTTTTAGCTTTTTAGTAGTAGTAGTAGTAGTTGTTGTTGTTATGATCTTCATATCTTTGTGGATATAACATATTCTAAAATTAAGAATTTGCCTTTGCCGGGTTTGGGTTAATATTCCAGCAGGAAGGGATGTAGTTGACTCAGTACATTGTGATGTTAATACAAGTATGAAGCATCAATCTACGATAGGTGACCCCATTTTGCTGGATAATTGGTCCATACAGAATCAAATGTAAGAATGCTTCTGAAATGGGCTTCCACCCCACTTCCTGCACTCTGAATGAAGTATCCATATGATTGATTGATAGACATGAACAATTTCTCTGAGAGTAGCTTTGCCAGAAAGTCTGGGAAAATATTTTGTAACAGTGTTGTTTAAGTCACTCTTGAACTGGTTATACACTAGGTCCGTTTGGAAAACTAGAGTTAGTTCTGCTGAGTTTTAGTTAATTTTGTCATTCTCTGTGCTAATTTAGACATTGTTATCACCGGGATACTGAATGCAACTTCTTTGAGGCATTTATATCACTTGAGTTATTGATGCTGTAAGCAACTTTCGTGTGTTGCATTTTATTTTATTTTTTGTTTGAAGAGATTCTGATAGCAGCAGTAATAGTATCTCAGCGGGAAATGGGTTGAAATGTTCTTTCCTGGATTTTGTAGAGAACTACTTTATACAGAAGCTGGGTTGTTGAAGTATCTTTGCTGAGAGATGGTAGCAGAGCCCATTTGGGGCAGTCAGGTAATTTTCCGAGTCAGTTTTCTCTCTTCTCGAATTGTTTACAGATGTGGCTTAGATGAATGGTGTACACTACTGGCTTCTGAGACCACCAGCTTTAGGGTCTAATTGACAGACATTTGAATATAGTTTTGTTTCTGTTTTTCAGGTTATAATTTGAGTTTTTGAGTGATTTTAAATTGTTTGTCGATTTTCAGAAATTTTGATGTTTATGATACTGGAAAATACACGTGTGGGATTAGAGCGCCTTATATGTTCGTCGAGGCTGCAAAAGTTGAGTCACAAAGTCAAAAACGTGAAGCAAATTTCTTGGTTATCAACATCTTCAGTTTCCATCTGCTTGACATCAAAAGTATTGAATCCAAAAGAATTGGCTTCCTTTTCAGCATTTGAGCATTAAGATTGTTTTTACGTTGTGTTGGGAAATGCAGTAATCATCAGAAACATGTGTTTCAATCGGTTTAGTGATTTGATCATTCTGCAATGGTCTTTTATTATCTCCGAGACAGTTCTATCTTTGAGATTCAACCAAATCTCGACTTACACGACACACTATTAGATCCTATACTTTTTAGAATGCCTAACTACAGAAGTGGAAGAGAAAATTTCTAAACTTAGGCCCCGTTTGTTTCTATGTAAAATATTCTTTTTGAAAAATAATTTTTTTTTTCAGGTAAAATATTATTTTATTTTTACTTTATTGGTGTTTGGCAAAGGTCTACGACTATATTAAGTTCGAGTTGATCGGGCAGGACATGTAGAATAATTGTCGAAAATTGATGGATAAATTATTTTTGTTAAATTTCAATATTTTTTTCTTCGTAAATATTTTACAATCAAACACCAAAAATTAAAAAAAATATTTTTTAAAAAATATTTTACGTTCAAATAAATTTAACCTAAAAATATAATAATGTAAAAACATCTTCTTTGTTGATACATGAACGATCCAAATACATGCATAAAGATGTGAAAGCATTTAAAACTTTGTTGCTCAATGTGATCTAAATCAAAAATATTTATACTTTAATTAGTATATATAAATATATTTTTAAATTTATTTTAAAACATTTCCAACAACAAAGGATTACATTTATGGAAAATTACATGTTGGATATATATACAAATCAAATTTTATTGGTCCGATACAATATCTAAAAAAAAAACCTATCGAATAGCTTAGTGGCATCTCTTTCCGTCATACTCCTCCTATTCATGATTTTTTTCCTCGTCTATTTGGTGAAACTCAATATCAACTAATGGCAAGGTGCAGATTTTTATTTATTTTTAATAGTTCACGAAATTATTTATCAAAAATATAATTTAAGAAGGTTATGTGACATGATTGTACAATTATTATTATAAGCCTAAAAAAATAATCAATTGATTTGAAATGTTTTAAACCATTCGAGAGAGTAAGAATTGGGGAATAGTGTGTGGGTTAGCCGCAGCCCGCAGGTACGACAATAACAAGGGCCGGTTTTGGGATTTTCAAAATTTTGAAAGGTCTACGCGAAATTTCAAGCGAGGCCTTTATACATGGGACTTCGTGTCAGCAATAAGTTTATATGAGTGCAAAATTTACATTAAAATCATACTAGAAGCACATAAAATATATTATGGTTGAAAACACAAAAGGCAAAATGCTTTATAAAGAGCACAATTCAATTTACATTAAAAAATTTTTAAAAATATTAACACAACTTAGTCAAAAAAATCAAAATTTAACTTCATATCAAAGTAAATGTGACTGTCTTAGATTTTGAGATGCAAAATTATAAATTAAAGTACTCCAATCACTGTCATAATTTTGTTGTTTGAACTAAGCTGAGTTAAAATTTTGGCAATTAATTTCATCCATGAGTTAAAATTTTGGTTATTTGAACTGGACTTAACCATTATACATGCGAGCTCAAAACTAATATATTAATAAAATAAATCAGTTTCTTATTTAAATATATAAAAATAATAATAATATTCTTGTGAAGGAAAGGGATAGAAACAAATTATTTTTACCATACAAATTATTGTATTATATATAATATAAAGTGATATTTTAAGTACGTATTTATTGTTATAATTTTTTTTGAAAGTTATTTATTATCATAAATTTACATTATATACGATTGTGTATATTTTTTAATTATAAAAATTATGGCATGAAATTATGTTTTTTAATTGATTGGGCTTAAGATTGTTGTTTACCTTATAGATATCGACTTTGTGGGTTCATTCCTCCCAGAATTAATTGTTGCCAATCCAATCATTTTATCTAGAAGTTTGACTGGTCATATAAAACCCACCCACAATTGATTTTCTCAAGACATACCTTGAGACCGATGACAAAGTTGTAGCCGCTCTTTGGTGCTCATCCTGGCTCCTACCCTCTGATTTCAAGGGAACTATGACACATATTGAGTTCTTGTTGAGTGAAGGGGTTCCGTGTTGCAGTATATCCAAATTGATCTTGTCGCAGCCAAGAGTTATACAGCAAAAGTTAGATAGGATGGTCTATGCAGTTAAAAATTTGGGTCATGAACCAAGTGCTCCCATGTTCCTACATGTTGTTCGAGTAATGGTCTCAATGAGTGATTCGACTTGGAAAAGGAAAGTTGCCACTATATTCAAAGCAAAGTATGATAGACTCTGACTCAGGCTCACATTCACGTCACTCTACCAAGAACTAGTTGCTAAACATCTCAGCCTTACTCTTCTGACTCCCCGTCAGGGTTTTTTGGTATTTTTCGGTAATTTTAATTTAACCTTAATTGTACGCGAGGATGCGTGCCATAATATTTCGGGAATTGGTTGGGACATTTCTTCAGGTTTAGAACCCTTAGAAACTCACTTGAGTTTATTGTGGTCATTTTTGAATTTTTGGACCGGGAGGTCCCGTGTGTGTCCGGAGTCGCCCTGATTGCGCGGAAATGGCGAGGGCTTAAATGAAAGGCTGTTGGAGGACATTATTGTTATCTTTTCAGTGAGATGTTGCCTTAGTATAATTTCCTAAAAGTTACTTAGAGGAAGGGAGTAATTAGCTATGAAAATTTTGGTTAAATGATGTAATTAAAGGAAAGTTGTGTAGGACTATATATCTGATTTGTTTGGCCACTATTCATCATCTTCCTTTTCCATTTTCTCTCTCTATATCTATAGAATATCAACCTCCATGTATAAGCTTAGGAAAGCTTAGATTTGAGGCCCTTAACCCATGTTTTTGAGGGTGCTCTAGAAGGGAAAGTTACTCATCTCATTCTCCTCTACACACCCATAGAAAGAAATTAGAGATTTAAGCCACTTTGGATTTTTGGGTTTCCTATAGGTTGGATTCGGAATAGGGGGGCTAGTTAGAGATGTTGTAGAGCATCTTTTGATCTACAACATGAGGTGATTTTGGAGGCTATTAAAGCACTTTGAGATTTCGGCCAAGGCAAGGGTGGAGGCTTTTGGGATTGCTTCACGAGGAAAGGTTGATCTCCTTCGCCTCTTTTTTCATCCTACGAAGCCGGTTTCGCAGGGGAGACATTTTGATTTTAGTGGGATTAGGGTTTTCACCCTAATTTGAAGTAGGGGTGTCTAATTCATGGAGTCTTAGGGGTGGTATTTTTTTTTTTTTTTTATTTTATTTTTTTTTTTTTTTTTTGAGTATTTATGTTTATGTGTTAATTTAATAATATAACATGCTATGTATCCTTGTTGTAGAAATCTGATTGACTATATGAAAATACATGCCTTCTGTGGTGCTTAATGATGTGATTACATTCCATCTATGTGTAGAGATTTGTTAGTATGCTTAGCATGATGAAGTTGTACAAACTTGTATGCTAAAGTGATTATTTGAGTAATTTGCTAGCATGCTTACTTATGATAGTTAAGTTAAATGTCAATCCATGTTAAAATTGTAGGAAATTGGTAAATGTTGAATTTTATGTTGTAAAGGCATGTTTGTTTATATGGTTTTAATGTTGTTGGATGGTACATGCATTTCTTGATGCTTGTTAGGAGCTAGTCATTTTAAGTTGGAAGATGATCAATTATTGAAATATTTTTAGATCATGCATTGGGTAGGCAATGTGTGAGTGAAATGGATAGTGTGAGAAGGATGAAATTCAAGTTGAGGAAGGTTTGTGATGGACGGAAGACAATCGGTAGTCTTGTTTGTGAGATTTCAGTAGTTAGGCCCCAAATGGTTGGATGAGTGGTGGTCTCACGCCAGGGATAGCTAGCCAGTGTTCCAAATGGTGGACAAGCGGTAGACTTGTGTAATTTGGAGTTAGAGGCCTCTAGTATAGATTTGTGTAGTGAGATGAATTGGTTGGGAAAGTGCTACTGTGTGTAGGATGAGATCATGAGATTGGTTCGGGGTGAATTCATAGCATAAACATTGATTGCATTGTTAATGTTGTAGTGGACTTATATATGTGAATGTGGTTAAGTTGATATACATACATATATATATATTGTTGCTAATGCCATGTATTGTTGATTCCATTATTTCCACCGTAATAACATGATCCTCCTACCTTGTTCTCCCTTTTCTATATGTGTTTGCGCACAAGACTTTAAGAGCCATGTCTTAGGCATACTCTAATGAGCAGTGGTGCTCACCCCTTTACTTTAAACATTTTTCAGGAAAGAAGTAGCTTGGGAAGACTTTTTGAGTTGAAGACTCACTTTAACTCATTGTGGACTTGGATATACTTTTGATGTTTGTAGAATTTAATGTATGTTTTAGGGATTTCAATTCCTATGTTGCACTTCATTTCCTTAGTAGTTGTAATCAATCGAGCTACTTGTATATCATGTATGTATAAGTGACTTCAAGGCAATGTAATATTCTGTATTGAGGCTATAAAGCCACACTATTTAAATGGGTGTGTTGCTTTCATCTTGTTTTTATGCTTTATAACATGTTTATAGGGTGTTTGTGATCAGTTTTAGACTTAGTTTGTGGCCATGGTTTATGCCAATAAGGTTCTTAAGGTTTTAGGCACCTTAAACAAACGTTTTGGGGGCATTCTAGTGCCCTTCGAGTGCTCCAAGGATAGGGGACGAGTGCTCCATAAATCCGGCAGTGCGCTGGGGGCTAACCTCAAGTGCTTGCAGCTCAATTCACGAGCGCTTGTAGCCCCAAACTCAGCCTCAGCACCGTCGCTCCAATTTCAAATAGTGATAACTCATTCGTTTTAACTCCGAATTGGGTCGTTCTTGTGTCTAAACTGACTGAGTCGAACGATATTTCCAATAGTGTAAGTATTACCTGAAGATTCAAAACTTAGAAAGAGTTATGTCTATTTTAGTGAAGACTGGTCATATTTTCTATATGTTAGGAAGTACTGGTTTGTTTCTAAACCATTTCTTTTGGAATTAGAACTCCATGGGAGGTTCCCTTATGTTTTGTATGACTTATGTAGACCTATTATGTACTCCATTTAGGTTAGTTTTGCCACGGTCATATCATTTGACCATTTTTGCCCTTGTGAC